AATAAAATTAAATAATAAATAAATAATAAATAATAATAATAATAATAATAATAATAATAATAATAATAATAATAATAATAATAATAATAATAATAATAATAATAATAATAATAATAATAATAATAATGAAAATAATAATAACAATAATGATATGTGGATGATTAACTATCATATCAATGATTATAACCATGTATAAATAATAATTGATAATTCTAATCAATAATTAACTATATATAATTAATTGCCTATCAGTAGTAATTAATAAGTCAAAGATTAGCTGTCAATAATAATTAATAAGTGAGGGGATAAAGTTTAAACATAAGTTGAAAATGATCGAAATTCGTCAGTATGAATATGAAAATATGGAAAATGTTACAAATCGAACCGATTTGTCAACCATCGTGTCAACCACAATTTGCGCTTTCTTTTACAATGAACGTTTTTTTCATTAATTATTTCGTTTTATAGCAATTTCCATTTTACCAATTAAATATTAATTTTATTTAAACTGAATTTTTTCAATGTTTCTTTCATTTTAAAAAATTTTTTCGATTATCCCTCACCGTATGTTAACCTAAGCCCATATTCCGTTATTTTCTCCATCATCCGACATATTACTTTCATTTACGTATTCCACGTACGTATTCCATTTACTAATTCCATCACTTACGTATTCCATTTGCTTATTTCACTCACGTATTCAGTTTACGTATTCCGCTTACGTATTTCACTTACGCATTCCATTTACTGATTCCATTTACGTATTCCATTTGCGTATTCCATTTGTGTTCCATTAATATCTTTTAATATTGAAAATTCGCAATTAGTCTCCCCTGTCTAATATCAAAATTATTGACAAGATATTTGGAAGGAAAAATTTTGAATAATAATTGTCTTTCTTGTTTTAAATTTTATAATTGTGATCGAAAACTTTAAATTACAATTATAATTCATAATAAAACTATGTATTTAAAGTTATAATTTGAAACAAAAGAAATTTTAATTTTTAAATGTTTTACTTTTACGATAATACGGTAATAATAATTTATGGAAAACTAATATGAATATTGTTAAAAATATGTAAATTTCCAAAGAGAGAAAAAAAACAACTTCATATTTAAAGTATTGGAAAAAAAATGTTGGAAAATTGCAATTTAAAAAAAAAAGAAAAGAGGATTTGCATAGTTTCTATGTTTGAAATAAACTCTTACTTACTTATTTGTTGAATTTTAGGGAATAAATCAGCAATTTTTTCCTTTTCACTCTTTTAAATTAGTTTGTTCCTTTAAATTATTTTAACCAAATTCATCAATTTCATCCTATGGTTAAAACTGAATGAAATCGTAACTAATTATAAAATACAATATTTATTTTTAAATATGCCTTTATAATCCTTTAAAATTTCGCAAAAATCATATTTCATTTAAAATTTTCTTTCTTTCTTTTTTCACTTTTTTCAGCAAAATTGAAATATGCGTATCAAATTGTAAATAAGTTAACATTGTGTTTTAAATTATTTATTGAAGTATTATTAAAATATCATTTATTAAAGTATCATTTATTGGAATATTATTAAAATTGAGAGAAATGAAAAAGGATTCTTATCTTTTTATTACAATTATTATCAAAAGTATGCATTTTTAAAGATGAGAAAATTTTTTTCTCTTAAATTTTCATTTCATCCAATTCATCCTAATATTTTGTAAATAAAGTGTACATTCTTTACTTCTCATTAATTTCTTTCAATCTATTTGATAAAATTTAAAAATCAATTATTTATATGAAAAAGTTATGGTTAGGTAAATTTGATCAATTTGTTATTCATTAATAATACCTTACAAATTACTAATATCTAGGCGCATTTATCCATAAGTTTTATGGTTAGGTAAATTTGATCAATTTGTTATTCATTAATAATACCTTTACAAATTACTAATATCTAGGCGCTATTTATCCAT